TGTGTGTGTGTGTGTGTGTGTGTGCATGCACGTGTGTGTGTGCGTGAACATGCACGCGGTGTGGGTAGGGGTCAGCAGTGCACCATTGTGACAATACTGTCTGTTATTGATTCAGCTGGGGTTAGACCACTGCAAAAGTCAACTTCCACCTTAAAACTATGTTGCACTAAAACCATAAATAAGGAGCCAAAATACAAATATTACAGATCTCTGATTGTATACAATGATGCCTGGAAATATCCCCCTGAGTATATGTTTTCTCTTGGTATAGTAAAATCCTCACAGCTATGCATAGGCATTTAATATACATGTAATTACGTTACAGATATCAACAGGAAGATATTATTATTTGTAATATAACATTTCTGTCAGACGACATTTGCTTTGACTTGTAAACTTTAAAAATGCTTTTTTGTTTGGATTGTTTGAGGTCCAGTCTTATCTGATCTGCTATAGCTTTGAGGTATAGTGGTCATCCTTTAACCAGAAGTTCAGCAGTTAAGTCCCAGTCTTCTCCATCTGCATGTCCTTGGACAAGATACTGAACCCCAAATTGCCCCTTCTCATAGAAAAAGTGCTGCAAATAGATGCACTGTATGAATGTGTGTGTGAATGGCAATACAACTGTGCTGTGAAGGGGTCAAAGCGGTCATCAAGACTAGAAAGAGGTTATATGAATACAGACCATTTACCAGTTTGATCCCCTTCAATGTCTTTTCTCTTCAGACCTGCAGGGGCACAGCAGCTGTGTTGACAACAGCCAACTGCTCTGTGCCACAGTTTTTTAACAGAGTGATTCCAGATGGAAGTCAAGATGAGCTGAGGTGGGAAGATGCTTTGCAGATTTTCAAGGGGAATGGCAGCTCAGACCTGGAGAGCTGCTAAGATCCACTGCCCACTCAGTTTATGTGGGTGTGTGGGGGGGTGTCTAGAAAGAGTGCAAGATGAGAAGAAAGAGAGAGAAACAAACAGAGAGACAAGCAGAGACTGGAACAAAAAGCCCTTGGGGAATAAACTAGAGTTTGGTTACTGATCACAAAACGCTCTCAGCCAATTCAGTGCAGCGACATTAAAGATGTCCAACAAAGACAGAGAGAATCCACCACTCTTCTGTTTTTCATTAACACTCAAGGTTACCTTTTTTCTGTGACTATAATACAGCCCAGCTTGAGGCACCAGTTCATCTTTCCAGACGCACAGTGCTCAATGTGTCTTTGTTTTCCAGCGGAGAACTGTCCCCATTTTCTTGGACTGTTTCTTTTGGACCACGTCCCTCAAAATCATGACCATTTCAAAGCTGACATAGCTCGAACAGTCCCAAGGGCTGAATCCATTTTCCACAACACCTTGGACAAGTCGAAATAACAACTATTTACTCACCTCTCTCAGTTTCTCTCGCTCTTCATCAATCCCCTTTTTCTCTCCCTGCCTTTCCTTCTGGATGTATGACGATCCCATGATTCATGGTTTTTGGCCAGGGGCTGTAGCCGTGCAGTTATATGTGGAACATTCCATTTACAGCAGCAGACTGCATTGTGATTATGCAACTCTATCAACCAAAATAGCTGCTCCTTAAAAAAATCTATATTGCTAATATTTATCAGCATTTGTGATAAAGTTGTAGTGTTGCAGAGAAATGTAATTATTTTTTCAATCCTGTTAATTGCCAGCAGTTATTAAGCATTACTAAAAACGTGCTAGAAATCTATCAGCATTATATAAAACATACAGCTAGAAACTATTTATCTTAGCTTAGCACAAAGGCATAAAACAAGGGGAAACCTGTCTGACAATAAAGTTTTGGACTTACTACAGTAAGTCGAATAGCTTTTAGCTCTGTTTTGGTCTCCCCCTTTTTGATGATTTTAAAGATGTGATTGTGTGCCAGGTAACCAATGGAGACACCAGAATGTTAATATGCTAACTTTTAGCTATTTGATTAAGTTGAGGCCTGATAACCAATGTACTCTGCAAACTCTCACATATTCATTCTGTGAATAAAGGGCTGCCTTTGAGACATTGCCGTCGTATGCACCTCTGACTGTGCCATTGGGGCAGCTCCATTAATCCCAGAACATCTCACAGTGGTGGAGCAACAGTAGGGACATCTCCCTGCAGCTGACCATAGGATCTTTGCCTTCCCCATGGCCGGTCCTGTCTTCTTAACCAATGCAAGAAGTATCCTTGTTCTGCTACCTCTGACAAATTGTCTCAAGTCAAGTTTGGGTCAACAAGTTTAAAAAAGAAGCTGTGGTGTCTGAAGCCTCTTCTAAGCTCCAGGCTACATTAGCTGCCAGTAATATAACATGTCGGCAAGTCTGACCGAACTGTCAGGGGTCAAGCTTGTGAGTAATGTAGGCATTAATTTTGACAAGGCAGATGAATGTGTGGAGGAAAACAGGTGACTTAACATTCTTGT